GTACCTGATTGTAGCTCAGATCGAGTTCCTTAAACTTCCTAAAACTTTTGAATGAAGTGCTTGATAAGGTTCGAATTTTATTATTCCGTAACACGAGCCTGAGCTCGTTTTTGAAATGCACTTCAGAGTGGGATTTTAAGGCAGATATGTTATTTCCGTCGAGATCTAATACTTGCAATGCAGTTTTTTCTTTTAATGCGAGGTAGGGGATCTGGAAAATTATCTAAAATTGCTGCGATTTCCCTCCAAATAACTATAATACCTGAGTAAGGAGATTGTTTTTGAGTTCGAGTATACTTAATGAAGGAGGAAGAGACATCTTCTCTAGATGGGTTATCCTGTTGTTCGACAGTGTGAGAACGATCAAGCGAAGCCGTGCAAAGGCCATGTTTGGAATGAAGGTTATCTGAAATGGAATTTGTTTGGTACAACTTTATCCTAGAAAGATCCTCTTGACTTATCAAATTTACTTGATTATTGTCAAGGTGTAGGAAGTGAAGGTTGTTGAGCTGCGTCTCATCAAATGTATTTGTCCTAATGTAGCTAATGCGATTTCCGTCTAGCCGTAGCACTTGCAAATGATGTAGGTATGTTAATGCCCATGCAGGAATCACCGATAAATTGTTGTGCTTGAGACTTAGATGGGTTAGCTTCATCTGGAATGCTTCATACTGCGCTCTCTTTGACAAATGATGAATATGACTACCTCGAGTCCTCTGAATGCGTTCACATTGATCGTCTGAATTTGATTATTAGAGAAATCAAGCGCTTGTACATCATGCATTCGGAAGGCATCTTGTTGAATGAAGGCGAGATTGCCATCTGTCATCGAAAGAGCTACGATACTTTCTCCCTGAGTTTGGCCATCGTTCGAAGGCAAGGTCGGTACTGTAGAAGCCAGTAGTTGATGACACATAACATGAATGGAACCATCGTTGCCCACTGGTACACAATCACATTGCTGCCACGCATCGTCTTTGGAGGTCCTCGTGAACCTGCAGTTGTTCATTGGGGGAAAAACTTAGGAAAGGGTAGTGCTTTTTTCTTTACTGATTCATCATATGTGCTTTTCATTTGGGTAGAAGCTAGGAATTTGAGAATTTACGGGTCGAAAGTGAGAAGTAAAACAGAATTAAGTAGTTTTCAAAGTTTCAGAAGTCTTGTCTCAAATTTTCTGTTCATTGCAAATACCTCATATTTCAGTCTACGAGTTTCATAATTCTTAAAATTTGTTGCTGAGTGTCATGTGTTACATTCTTTGGAAGGAACTTCGGTTGCTGGAAACAAATTTCAGTTGTAAGCGCTGTCACTTGCTGTTTGCAAACTGCAGCTTGGCTTACCG